ACATGTCTTGAAATAATAATTTCTTAACATTAAACATTGACTGTCAGTCTTTATTCACCTGTTTCTCGTCGTTTATCATTAAAATTTATTAAAGTAAATAGTGTGAATTACAATAGTATAAATAGTGGGAATTTAAAACTGGTTACTGTCTTCTGATAGTTAGCGAAGCATTAAAAAATAATTTAAACTGATAAATAACAGATTGGAGATTAAAATAATAGCAGATTTGTCTAATTTTAAATGAGTAATAAAAACTGAGATGAAAAATTTACTTAAACCCGAAATATAATTTTACTATGGTAAAATAAATGTTCAGCGATATCTTCAAAAGACTTTTGAATTTTGGCGCACTTTTTTTCTCTATATAATGTTGATATAGTAACTAGTAAATGCTGTAAATTTGGTTATGCTAGCATGTGTGGAAATATTTAAACCACGTGTGTTACAATTTACCCCGCGTTACTTTGTGCCCCGCGCTCCCCCTACCTGCAACGTTGCTTTTTCCTATCACTTATATTGGGCACTTTTTGCATTTAAATTGGATTATTCTGACTGCTGACGTTGAAAATGATGCATTTCTTGATTGCCGTTTTGACAGTGTCAGCTTGAATATTTTATTCATGTTCGGTAGCCTAATTCCCTTTAATGTAGGCTATTTGCCCCGATTCGATCCGTTTACCTGGGAAATTTATCTAACGTTATATAAATTATTTTGTCAACATTATTTTGTTTTAAGGAGTTAAAAATGGCACTTATCAACCTTGATTTACATATTCCATCACATTATTTTGACAGTTAACGTTTTGGGCGGGGTTTTGTGAGCTTTTGGGCTGGAAATCGTCCATCCAATCTGGCAACACTGCAGCCCACTGATATAAAGATGTGAAGAGTATGACCCTCAGACCAAGAGTGCCTTCTTCCAATGCCTGTCAACGATTTATTGTCACTTTTCCATTTGATATAAAATGAGCTTCCAACTTTTGAATGAAGCCTCCTCGTTGAAATCACTGGATGTACTCATAATAGTTGGTGTCTGACATCACTGACCAATCACCATGGCGTTTTGTAAATTACTTTAAAAATCTAAATGACATTTAAACTCTCAAAGAGAGAGTTATCCAAAAATGAAAATCTTGTCATCATTTATTCACCCTCATGTCATTCCAAACCTGTTTGTTTTTTCTTTCTTTCTTCTGTGGAGCACAAAAGATTTAGATTAGCGGAATATCCCAAGAACCATAGACCTAGTCAGGTTAGAACCATAAACCTCAGTCAGACGCCATGTTAAATTTAACGCAGGTGATAATGAGGCTGTGAGAGATAGACTTGCTATCTTTTCAATGGTACGTACTGTATACAGGTCCTAGATCACATAATTTTCACAACTTTCAAAACTGCTTTATTAAGTTTTTGTCTACTGAAAGCTTTTCCGAAAGACATTTCGTCAGCTTAACAACCAGCATGTTTTTAATCTGAATGCACTGTACTTCTATCCCTCACAACCTCGTTTTCATCCCTGTCCAAAAATATGGCGTTACCCTGACCAGGTCTGTCCATACAATAGATAATAGACAATAAAGTATCATAAATATTGTCCAAATTACTTTATTATGAGTGTTTTTATTTTTCGATAAAGTTATGTGAGAAACAGCCTAAGAATAAGTCGTTGTTTACAGCAATAAGTCTCCATTCATCTGTCTCCAGTCATTTTATGAAAAGTCAGTCATTCTGCTAAACTTCTCTTTTTCACAGAATAAAATCAAACAGGTGTGGGATGGCATAAGGGTGAATAAATGATGACGGAAGATCCATTTTGTAGGTAAACTCCGTCTCTTTAAATCTACATTTTATCAGCGCCGATTAGTCTGAGTGAGACTCTCAGCCGCCATAATCATTCCTGACGAGAGATCGATGCTTTGTATGTAATGCTTGAATCTTCGATTCAGCTGTGGTTAATTTATTCCACTGTAGATCAAGAGTGAATGTGAAATGATGTAGAAACGCCTTCCACTGATCAGTGTAGATTTACAGTCGCTACTGCCTGCTGATTCACAATCATAATGTACTGTAATTACTCTATGCAATCCTTTCCTTGCTGTAATCCCAAACTACTTGCTATATTGATCATGCTAGCAATATATTCAGTGCCACTTTTCAGTCACAAGGAAAAACTTACTGTGGTTTTCTTTATAAGACTTACAGGGTACCGTTTTAAATTGAACGTGTAATGTATGTGCTCGGTCCTGTCGCTGGAGATTTTGAGCTTTAATCAAACTGCTAATTATGGTCATTGGATTCATTTGGGTGGGGGTGGGGGTGGGGGGGGACAGGACATTGTATTCTAGGGTTGAAACGAAGTTCTGATGCAGGTTGGATCTTCAAGAATGGAATGAGCATCCAGGTCTTATTAATAATGCTTAATGGTAACGATTGTTACAAACCTTATTTTGAAGCCTTCCAAAGACCTCAAGAGCTGTGCCGTTTTATCATGAAGTGTTTTTCTTTGCTGTGCCTCGGCTTAAAATTCATTTTGTAGTGAACACATGTTAACTAGTTATTCTCTTCCAACACCCTCAACATGATAAAAATGACAATCATCATTTATAAGACCGATATAAAATGTATTTTATATGAACTTTTGGCCGATGCCATTGAACCGCCTATAAGATCTTTGGTTTGCTAGAAGAACATGACTGAGTGTCTTATTGCTGATTTTAGGAGATTATTTATAAGCAGATTCTGAAAGTAAGTGGGTTTGCTGCTCTATAGTTGTTCATAGTAGCTTTATATAATTAGTCTACAAATGTGTTTGAACTTTGAAAGATGATTACAAATTGCTAGTTTCCGATTCTGCTCTTTATATTTCAAGAATCTTATTTTGATTTTACTACTGAATGATTTCTTTTCTGTATTATGATTTAAATGCAAACAATAAGATGCTGTAGTTTCAGGGGTTCAGATAAGTTGGTGAATATGAATTAAAAGTTACTTTATAAACAAGCTTTGTTTTTTGTTTTTTTTCCCCCCCAAAAAAAGTTTAGGTTCTGTAAGATTTTTAAATGTTTTTGAAAAACGTGTTAATGTGTTTATAATAAAACAAATCCATCATTTAGGAAATTTAACTAAACCTTATAGCTTCAGGCGAAATCCACATTTTATTTAGAACTGCTTTGGACTGTTTTCGCTTGTAAACGGTGCTTGATCTGTGTATATTTCTCTCCTGATTCATACAAGATGACTTTGTACTGAAGAAAGCAGGATAGACAACACTATTTTAGCTGGAAGTAACGGTTTATTAAAGTTAAAACATCTTGATAGATTTGTTTATTAAAAACACGCAGCTTTTTACTTCACAAGATGTTAACTGATGGACTAGAGTTGTGTGGATTACTTGTGGATTATTGTGATGTTTTTATTAGCTGTTTGGACCCTCATTCTAACGGCACCCATTCACTGCAGAGGATCTATTAGTGAGCAAGTGCAAGACAATACCAATACAATCAGACTTTTCCCCCAAAAGTTTTAATTATTTTAGGTAACGTTGTTTCTTGCAAATGCTTGATAGTACCAAACACATCCTACACAGCCATTTCAATGACATTTAAATTATTGGAATAGTAAAGGAATATTACAAAGTTCAGAGAAAGGATATAAAATACATTTGTTCATAAATAGCAAGGCTTACATTAGATTTTCCATCTGCCCTCGCGGCAGATTTGACAAAAATGTATGGTAAAAAGTTGTTTAGTGCAACAAATGTACACTTTAGTGTTGACGCATCAAATATATACGCACAGCATGACAAAACAACACGAGAGTTCACGTAAACATTATCTAAGACTACTTCTGACGTGCATTTCATTGGTATAGAAATGAAAATACATACATGAAAAGACAATATAATCTCTGCTTAGGATCTCTTTTCATTTCAGTTTGTCTTTCCCAAAATCAAGTTTTTCTTTTTTTTCCCTTTTTTAACAAAAAATCCTTCACAAATCCTGACTCTTTTTGCTGTTCATCTCCCATCTTTCTGTGCTTAAAGAACAGATGAATTGTCTGAGAACACAACGAGGAAAAAAAAAAGTGGACAAATATGTAAGCAACATTATTATGACATCTTTCCATAAGCCCTTAAAGTTTGGGTGAGGCAACAGAAAATTCAGTCATTAGTTACATTGTCGGAAGTTTGAACATTTTAATCACAGAACGACTGTCTGGGAAACGTAAAAGAGGAGAAGGACGGACATGGTTTGGAGCACAGAGCTGAAAAGGTGAAAATGTTTTATCAGTGTTAGAGGTCTTTGTTTGCAGGTGTTCCAAAGGAGATTGGAAGGCGAGAGGTCCAAGAACATTCTGAATTTCAGAACTTGAAGAGGTCTATGAAGTGCTGGGGAGAGACAGGGGTGAGGCAGCTGTCCGGATCATTTGCTGTGCAAGGATGTCCCGAGTCCTGCGATGGAAAGAGAAAGCGGTCAAAATCAGACTGAAGCATTTTCTGATGAAAATGTGTGTTTTTGTTCATGCAAAAGCTGCATGGTTGGTTGCTAGGGTCCCTTCTTAAAAACCTTTTTTTTTCTTAGTGTGAAGAACATTTTAATAATCTAAAAAAACGTTTTTCACTATAAAGACTTTTGTGCACAGGAAAGATTCCATGGATGTTAAAGGGGTCATATGATACTGCTAAAAAGAACATTATTTTGTGTATTTGGTGTAATGTTTGGAAGGCCAACCAAAGTAGTTTTGCTTTCACAATGAAACACACAGCAGCTTCACGACATGGCGGCAACAACAATACTACAGCGAGAATAGAAATTACGCCTTCTTTCTTTGAAAGAAATAATAAAAAACGTACTTGCAGTCTGTGAGTCAGAACAGCCGGCACTGTGGTCTACTCTCCCAGGATCAGGAAACAGTCCTTCTTAAAATGCGCTGGACACATCTGAATATTTGGGTTAAACTGTTCTGGAACAGTGTTGTAAATACAACTTAACCACTGATTTCTAGTCGTGTCCTCTTTTGGAAGGCCAAACAAAGTAGTTTCGCTTTCACAACGAAACAGCGTCACACACCGCAGCAGCTTCACGACATGGCGGCAACAACAATACTACAGCGAGAATAGAAATTACGCCTTCTTTCTTTGAAAGAAAATTTGGGCAGCGTTATGCAAATCTTCCCACATCGTGACGTAGACATGTGGGGGTGTGTTAGAATGAGCCATTTTTGGTAGGCGTGGTTGACTATTGACTTTTATAAAGAATATTTCTTTGGATTTGAGACTTTAGTCTTTGCAACTTTACAGATCTTCGTTATGCACCAAGAGCTTGTAACACTCCAAAGAGAAAGAAAAAATTTAAATCGCATCATATGACCCCTTTAATAAAAGTCTACTGGTGTTATACCTTCAGTCATTTTCAGAATCAGAAAGAGCTTTATTGCCAAGTATGCAAGGAATTTACATACAAGGAATTAGTTTTAGTGACATAAGCTTCCAGTACACAGAGACAACAACAACACACAGACAATAAAAAATAAGATGAGAATAATTTAAAAAAACACGTGATACAATCGCATCATATCACCCCTTTAAAAGTTCTTCATGGAACCATCGTTGCCAATAAAGAACTTATTTTTAAAAAGTGTATGGGATTTTGCTGCTCTTTTTATCATCCACCTGGCAAAAATTTTAAGTCTGATGGCACAGAAAAGTTCTAACACAACTCTCCTCAACTAGCCGTATTATTTGTGGTATTATTCATGTCTGAAGCACAAACAGTGTAAGATGAATTACCAGTGCTGGGTAGGTTACTTAACAATTGTAGGCCGTTACTGATTTGTAGTTAGTAAAATTATAGTTAGTAACCTAATCCATTATATTAACCCATTTATCCCATAATTTAAATGATTATTTTGTATATTCATTTCAGAAAATATATTCTCTATGAAAAATCAAACTGGGGTTAGTGAGTTGAAGAAAAGCTAATAATTAATATATCATAAAAATGTAATATTAAAAAAATATTTTAAAATAATAAAATACTAAAACAGGAAATTAAGTATTTTTTGATTAAAAAAATTAATATTTTGTTTGTTTACCTACATGTTGTGACCATTGACCGCCATCAGAGAATCAATAAATTATGAATAACTTGCTGCCATTGTGTGAATAATATGTAATCTTTCAATAAATAAAATTATGCATAATTACATGCAATAACCCTACACCAGACACTAATCCTAACCCTACAGTAAGTACTTGTTAATTAATATTACTTAGTACTTAAATGCACAATTACACTGTAGCAAGGACACTGTAAAATAATGTGTAATACTCAGGGTTAGGGGTATATTCAAATCCCTAAGTATAAGCAAATATAATAGTCATTGTATGTATGTTCATGTAATCAGTCGAGAGATGCATTAGTGCATAACGGTGATGTGAAACATACTGACGACATAAAAAACCAAATGGAGAAAAAAGAAGACATTCAGAAAAATATATCCAATCAAATATTAAAATGAATACAAACAATACAGAACAAGTCCAGTTGATTCGAATAAGACGACAGAGGTTAGGAGAAAAAGAAAAAATGACAGATGAAGCAAAACTAATATTATTAAGAGACACTAATTTCAAAACACTTGCACACTCATAAAAGATTTAACATGTACCTTAAAGATTAAAGCCAGGTGTCTGTCCTTTAGGAGATAAGGGACCAGGAGGAGAACAGGAAAAGAATAAAAAGGCTAAAGGTCAAAGGGTAGAGGAAGAGGGCTGATATTACAGAGGGCAAATGGAATAGATATAACCCGAAGCTAGGGGTGTGCGATAATGACAAAAAATTATATCTCAATATATTTGCTGAGTGTGTTATTGTGCTGGTACTTTGGCAGGTTTAGGACTTCCGTGGACCACTGACTCCCAAAGCTTTTGATATTCTTCATATTCTGTGCAATGATTAGTTTGCAGGAGTAACAGAAATTAACTTTTCCAATAGGTTTAAATTGATTTTCTTTTCATGGGCATTTTTACCTTTATAGGGCCAATTTTTTCTAACCTAATTAAAGGTATGCATCCTCTTTTGTCTCAAATTCTTAAATGTAATCAGTAAATTCAAATAGTACGACATTATAGGGCTGTTACCAATCAAATAAAATCAGTTTTTTTGATCAAAATCAAATTTGTGTTTGCAAAGCAGAGGTGCCACAGAATCTGCATCTGAAGTGCCATTTAGATGCATTCACAGACTGTTTAAAGCAGGACATGAATGCATTTAACCTGCAGTTACAAATGCATAATTAATGTTTTGATGTTTTTTTAATACTGATGATTTAATAATGAGAGTTTTAATACTGATTTTTGGGGAAAAAAGGGAAAATATACTTTAAATATAAACCTAAAATCGCCAGTAGGTTGTGGCAAATCACTACATGAGTGAGTCATTGAGTCATTCATTCAACCAATTCCTTCAAATGGCTGATTGATTCAGTAACGAGACACTGTCGTGTGTTACTCAGAGACGCAAAACAGTTCTGCTGTGGCTTTGTTTGGAACTATTTTCGTTGTCGAAATACAGCAATAACAAGTGTCTATTAAAGGGATAGTTCATCCAAAAATTTAAATGACCCCATGATTTACTCACCCTCAAGGCATTCTAGGTGTATATGACTTTCTTCTTTCAGACGAATCAAATCGGAGTTATATTAAAAAATGTCCTGGCTCTTCCAAGCTTTATAATGGCAGTGAATGGGTGTTATTTTTCAATAGTCCAAAAGAAGTCCAATAAAGCGCATCCATCCATCATAAAAAGTGCCTCACACGGCTCCGTGTAAGAACAATATCCATATTTAAAACTTTATAAACCGTAATCTCTAGCTTCCTCTAACTGTCGTATGGATGACGTTGGATGTAGCGTAAGCGCCTATGAGAATATGCTAGTCTCGCGAGAACCACATTTTGTTTACAGGAGGGAAGCAAAGTTTCCTTACTTTAGCAAAGGAAAACCAGTCTCCTCTTGATTTATATCGAAATCCTCCAACATTTTTCTTTACAAATCCTCGTTTTGCACTTCTAATTCGTGACCACTGTTTTGTTTTGCTCTCTCCGCTACGCTTCCGCATTAGACACTTCTCACTGGAGCTTTAAAGTTATTTGCTTCTACATTAGCCCATCATGTATCAAACCATAAGAGCACATTCGGCAGAGAGAGCTGGAAAGATTGCCAAAACAACTCCGCAGTGAGTCAATGTCATGGACGTAAGGGCAGAGCAAGTTTAAATATCTTTCTAGTCTATATTTCCATCTTGTAATTCCGCTGTTTTGGATATTTTTAAAATATAAATTATTTATAATAGAGCAGACACTGACTGTTTTTCATGTATTTATGTTCTCATTTAACGAGACAGCAGACGCTGAAAACACTTCGCACTTCAGTATGTGTGTAGTAAACGAAACCGCGCGTCTGTGCCATTCATTCATAAAGAGACAGGCAGGATTCATATTTAAATGGTATTTTTGCAGCTCGATTTCTGTTTTTATGACTGGATTCCGCAATTCCGTCCGTGTTTTCCGCATCGCAGAAATCATAGGGCCATAATTAAAATGGGTTCTATTGTCGCGTCGCACTACGAAGCTCGCGTCCAGTGTAGACACGGTGTGAGTTTTTTTTAATGGCTTAGTTTTAGTCCTGCTTGTTTTAATGTTTTTATTAAATATCTGTATTGATCATATCATCGCATTATTTACTGCCATCTGCCATGC